GTTATTATGCACTCATAACACCATTAAAACTATTTGGGAACCAGCCTAGATGAACTACGCCTGATGGAGTGTATTAGTTGTGTAACCAATATGGGAAGCTGGTTGGCCAGAGGTGATTCAAGGACCAGTGCAACCTGGGCTTAAATATTGGAGATGCAAACACATTTTGGTTAAATACTTTTTTTTATGATTTGCTAAAGTGTTCATGTTTGACTATTATTTGGCATTTTATTTGATGACACCTGAGATGTTTTTATTTTTCCACACAACCATTAAAAGACATTTCAATGCCAAGGGTATTATTATAATGATAATTGGGTGTGAAAAAGCTACTCATATCTTGTATATATGTATCTCTCTCTCTCTCTCTCTCTCTCTCTCTCTCTCTCTCTCTCTCTCTCTCTCTCTCTCTCTCTCTCTCCCTCTCCCTCTCCCTCTCCCTCTCCCTCTCCCTCTCTCTCTCTCTCTCTCTCTCTCTCTCTCTCTCTCTCTCTCTCTCTCTCTCTCTCTCTCTCTCTCTCTCTCTCTCCCTCTCTCTATCTCTCCCTCTCTCTATCTCTCCCTCTCTCTCCCTCTCCCTCCTTCTCTCCCTCCCTCTCTACCTCTCTCCCTCCCTCCCTCCCTCCCTGCCTCCCTGCCTCCCTGCCTCCCTCCCTCTCCCTCTCCCTCTCCCTCTTCCTCCCTCCCTCCCTCCCTCTCCCTCCCTCCCTGCCTCCCTCTCCCTCTCCCTCTCTCTCTCCCTCCCTCTCTATATTTATTCCCAGTGAAAGTGTTAATTTTGGCTTTCCAGGATGATTCAGTGTGCATTGCTCTTCCAGGTTGAGGTGTCTACTGCAGAGTGGTCATTTGTAGAGCGGCTGATTCCACCAAAGTCAATCCCTAAGCCTAAAGTCAAACCGGGTAAGTTTGATCTCGGTTTCTGAAGGGAGAGGAACTTGAAAGCTTCTGATACTTGGGTGTTGATTCTCTCAGTGTAGAATTATTTGTGGAGAAAAAATATATGCCTTATATATGTGGTACACTCACACTGGCATGCATATACATACCCACACACACAAACCTGGTCTCAAGACTCAAGATTCAGGCTAAGGGACAGACTCAAGACTCAAGACTCATGACTCAAGATTCAGATTCAGGCTAAGGGACAGACTCAAGACTCATGACTCAACATTCAGATTCAGGCTAAGGGACAGACTCAGACTCAACATTCAGATTCAGGCTAAGGGACACACTCAAGACTCATGACTCAAGATTCAGATTCAGGCTAAGGGACAGACTCACACTCATGACTCAAGATTCAGATTCAGGCTAAGGGACAGACTCTGACTCAAGACTCATGACTCAAGATTCAGATTCAGGCTAAGGGACAGACTCTGACTCAAGACTCATGACTCAAGATTCAGATTCAGGCTATGGAACAGACTCAAGACTCAGATTCAGGTTAAGGGACAGGCTCAGACTCAACATTCAGATTCAGGCTAAGGAACAGACTCAAGATTCAGATTCAGGCTAAGGGACAAACTCAGACTCAAGACTCATGACTCAAGATTCAGATTCAGGCTAAGGGACAGACTCAGACTCATGACTCAAGATTCAGATTCAGGCTAAGGGACAGACTCAAGACTCATGACTCAAGATTCAGATTCAGGCTAAGGAACAGACTCAGATTCATGACTCAAGATTCAGATTCAGGCTAAGGAACAGACTCAGACTCATGACTCAAGATTCAGATTCAGGCTAAGGGACAGACTCAGACTCATGACTCAAGATTCAGATTCAGGCTAAGGGACAGACTCAGACTCATGACTCAAGATTCAGATTCAGGCTAAGGGACAGACTCAGACTCATGACTCAAGATTCAGATTCAGGCTAAGGGACACACTCATGACTCAAGACTCATGACTCAAGATTCAGATTCAGGCTAAGGGACACACTCAAGGACTCATGACTCAAGATTCAGATTCAGGCTAAGGGACAGACTCACTCATGACTCAAGATTCAGATTCAGGCTAAGGGACAGACTCTGACTCAAGACTCATGACTCAAGATTCAGATTCAGGCTATGGAACAGACTCAAGACTCATGACTCAAGATTCAGATTCAGGCTAAGGGACAGACTCAAGATTCAGATTCAGGCTAAGGACAGACTCAGACTTCAAGACTCAAGATTCAGATTCAGGCTAAGGGACAGACTCAGACTCATGACTCAAGATTCAGATTCAGGCTAAGGGACAGACTCAGACTCAAGACTCATGACTCAAGATTCAGATTCAGGCTAAGGGACAGACTCAGATTCATGACTCAAGATTCAGATTCAGGCTAAGGACAGATCAGACTCAGACTCTGACTCAAGATTCAGATTCAGGCTAAGGCACAGACTCATGACTCAAGATTCAGTATTCAGGCTAAGCGAACAGACTCAGGACTCAAGATTCCAGATTCAGGCTAAGGGACAGACTCAGACTCATGACTCAAGATTCAGATTCAGGCTAAGGAACAGACTCAGACTCAAGACTCAAGATTCAGATTCAGGCTAAGATACAGACTCAGACTCATGGACTCAAGATCAGATTCAGGCTATAGGAACAGACTCTGACTCATGAACTCAAGATTCAGATTTCAGGCTAAGGGACAGGACTCAGACTCAAGATTCAGATTCAGGGCTAAGGAACAGACTCAGATTCATGACTCATTATCAGATTCAGGCTAAGGAACCAGACTCAGACTTCATGACTCAAGATTCAGATTCAGGCTAAGGGACAGACTCATGGACTCATGACTCAAGATTCAGATTCAGGCTAAGAAACAGACTCAGACTCAAGACTCATGACTCAAGATTCAGATCAGGCTAAGGAACAGATCGACTCAAGACTCAAGACTCAAGATTCAGATTCAGGCTAAGGGACAGACTCAGACTCATGACTCAAGATTCAGATTCAGGCTAAGGGACAGACTCAAGACTCATGACTCAAGATTCAGATTCAGGCTAAGGGACAAACTCAGACTCAAGACTCATGACTCAAGATTCAGGCTAAGGGACAGACTCAGATTCAGGCTAAGGGACAAACTCAGACTCAAGATTCAGATTCAGGCTAAGGAACAGACTCAGACTCATGACTCAAGATTCAGATTCAGGCTAAGGAACAGACTCATGACTCATGACTCAAGATTCAGATTCAGGCTAAGGCACAGACTCAGACTCTTAATCATGATCTTGACCCCCACCCTCCCACCCCCCACCACCTCCTAACCAACACATACTTTCACAATTTATTTCCCATGGTGATTTTCTCCGATGTTTACCAGGAATAATTTAAAAGCTTTCAGTTCAATATATTTGTTTTGTAGATGTTAATGTTGATATAATTGTTATCATTCTTTTCTGTTTTTAGTGTTGGGATAATTTTTTTGCATACATTTATAGAGAAGAAGCATGGATATTGGTTCGTATTGCGGTATAAGTATTGTTACGAGCCATTTTCTGATTTAACTACGAATATATTCTTTTACGATGTCGTTGCACAGGCGAGGTTACTCCGTCTGGCTGGGTAGCTCCATCCGCGGCTCCTGGCGATTATCCGTACTTTGTCCCGCGTTCTGCCAGCCACATGCTCCCTGTTTATGTCAAGCATGAGCCAATCATGTCAAGGTAAGGAAGGTTGCACTTAGAGATATATATTTTTTTGTTTTTGTTTGCCTTTTTAAAGTCAATTTTGCTGTCCATTTTTTTTGTTTTGTTTTCTTTGCTTTTGTGTGTGTTTTTGTTATAAGGATTTTATGTGTGTGTGTGTGTGTGTGTGTGTGTGTGTGTGTGTGTGTGTGTGTGTGTGTGTGTGTGTGTGTGTGTGTGTGTGTGTGTGTGTGTGTGTGTGTGTGTGTGTGTGTGTGTGTGTGTTTGTATGTCTGGGTATTTGTTTGCATATTTGTATTTGCATATTTGTGTGTGTGTTTGTGGGTGGTTGGTTGGTTGGTTAGTTGGTCCAGTAGTAAAGGAAATTTCATGTTAATATCTGCTGGTATATTATACGTGAGCAAGGAACCAGACACTAGGCAGTTTAAAATTTCCTTCCATTGACCCAATACTCTTTTGGCAGGTTCACGACCTCTGTGAAACATGTCGAAGGTGATGCATTCGCCCTCGGAGAAGATCTACGGCAGTACCTTTCGGAGAAGTTTGCGCCCAAACACATTAATTTACGGGTCCATGAGCCACACCAGATGGTACAGATAAAGGGAGAATATATGCTGGAAGTGAAGGAATTTTTAACCAATAAGGGATTCTGAAGAAAAGAATTTAAGTAGAAGGTCTTGTCTGCCTGGTGATGTTAATGTATATAATAATTTTATGTATCTTCTGGTATTGAATATATTTATGCCATTGGATATAAATTTCAAGTTATTATAACATATATCTGGTAAATCATTGTCTCAATAACTTTTTATTCCAGGATCAGCTGTGGCTATACTGTATAAAAATTGTTTTCATTGCAGCTGAATGATAAAGAAAATAAATCAATCAGTCAACAGATCTTAAAAGAGGATCATTGAAGTACATCTGTATATAAAATCCTATGAATTGTAAAAGAAGTATACATAGTTCTGTTCATAAATTATTATATCTGTTAGTATGTCTGTTCTTCCATCCTGCTAAAGCTGGGTTTTGTAATAATGGCAGATGTTATTTTTAACTAGGTATTAGTCACCAAAAAACAACCAGATGCAAATGCACACAGTTTTTTTTTTTTTTTTTTATGCAGACTTTGATAGTAAGGTTGTTGCTATTTGTCAAAATTAGTGATTATTTGGATGACCATGACTGTGTTTTGTCCAGTGTACACACATGCTTGCAAATGTATTGTTTTGTTGTGTGTGAAGTAGAAAAGTATTGCTATATTGACATGTACTTTTATTCATATAAAACAAGTATTGTTTATCTCATAAAAAAAGGATAAAGGATAACTCGCACAAAATGTGTAGAAAGGATAATATATAACTTAAAT